ACAGACGTCCCTTCCCTGGGACTCAGCAATCTGGCCACTGGTCCTTAAATAACAGCCACTGCCACCTGCATTCCTACGGCACAGTCACAGTTGTACAAAGCGACAAGAGGGCTTCCCCAGTGGTCCAGAGGTCAGGAATCCGCCTGCCAACGCAGGGGACGCAGGTTTGATCCCCGGTCTGTGAAGATTCCACATGCCGTGGGGCAACAGAGCCTGTGTGCCACAGCCAGCGAAGCCTGGGCTCCCGAGAGCCTCTGTTCCCCAACAAGAGAAGCCACCGCACGAGAACCCCGTGTCACCACTGGAGAAGAGTCTGTGTGCAGCAACAAGATCCAGCGCAGCCAAAACTAAATAAATCAACAAACCTCCGTTTTAAAAAACGTGACGAGAGACAAGGGTCTTGCAGCAACACTGAGAATGGTAGAGACTGGACTCAGGCCATGTGCCCGTCGAAGGGGACTGGTTACATAAATTACAGGGGAGCCACACAAGGGATGGCTGTGGCGCTGTGGTGGGGGAGGGCCAGAAATCCAGGCTGCAACCTGGGTAAACCTTGGAGCACTTAGGCTAAGTGAGATATGCCGGTCCCCATGATGCTGCTCATGTGAAGTACCTAGACTAATCAGACTCATAGAGACAGGAAGTCGGATGGTGGGGTGGGGGTAATGAGGTGTGAAGGGGGAGTTATTATTTAACGGATATAGAGCTTCATTTTTACCAAAGGAAAAGCAGTTCTGTGGATGGACAGTGGTGAGGGCTGATGAGAGAGTGCTTAACGCCACTGACCATACACCTATACACTTTTTTTTTCTTTTGGCCAGGCCGTGCAACTCGCAGGATCTAAGTTTCCCAACCAGATATCGAACAGGGGCCCTCAGCAATAAAAGCACAGAGTCCTAACCACTGAACTGCCGTGGAATTCCTATGACCTGTACACTTTGTCAACAAAGGTCCATATAGTCAAACCTATGGTCGTTTCAGTACCCGTGTACAAATGTGAGTTGGACCAAAAAGAAGGCTTAGTGCCGAAGAACTGATGCTTTCGCATTGTGGTGCTGGAGAAGACTCGTGAAAGTCACTTGGACAGCAAGGAGATCCAACCAGTCAATCCTAAAGGAAATCAACCCTGAACATTCATTGGAAGGACTGATGCGGAAGCTAACGCTCCCATGATTTGGCCACCTGATGTGAAGAGCCAACTCATTGGAAAAGACTCTGATGCTGGGAAAGATTGAAGGCAGGAGGAGAAGGGGATGACATAGGTTGAGATGGTTTGATGGCATCACTGACTAAATGAACATAAGACTGAGAAAACTCCGGGAGACAGTGAAGGACAGGGAAGCCTGGCGTGCTGTAGTCCATGGGGTCGCAGAATCAGACACAACTTGGTGACTGAACAGTACAACACACAATACACTTAAAAATGAATAAGATGGTAAAGTTTGTGTATTCACCACAANAAAGATTGGGGGCAGGAGGAGAAGGGGGCGGCAGAGGATGAGATGGTTGGATGGCATCACCGACTCGATGGACATGAGTTTGGGTGGACTCCAGGAGTTGGTGAAGGACAGGGAGGCCTGGCGTGCTGCGGTTCATAGGGTCGCAGAGTCAGACACGGCTGAACGACTGAACTGAACTGAACTGAATATAGAAGGTCTCCAGTAGGATCTATCCACAGCAAGACTCACAAAGTAAAGAGAGCAAAGATACAGAACAGACTATATAGAATTAGGGACTTCCCTCGTGGTCTAGTGTTTGACTGCAAGTGACACAGCTTTGACCCCTGATCCCTAGCTGAGGAACTAGGATACCAATGCCTTGTAGGTATGACCCCAAAAAACAATGCTATTCCAGTATGAAAAAGGGGGGAAGTCTAAATATATGTTTGCATTTGCAAGAAGAACCACTGGAGGATGCATAAGACACTGAACAAAGTGGTTACCTACAGGAACAACAATGGAGATGGAAGAGGGTGTGAGAGCAAGTCCTGATGGATGTCTGCACAGTGTTCTGAGGTGTAACCGAATGAATAAATTACCTAGTTGGATTCTCCAGTAGGGCAGTCCCTAGAAACGGGGACAGGAGAGGGTGGGGTGGGAGCACCAGTGCTCTCATCTGGATCCTAGAGTCTGTATTTGTATTCCTTTTATAAGAAAGAAAAACAGAAAAGATGAAGAATAAAATTTTAAGTACTCCATAAACATATGAAAAGATGTTCTGTCTCACTAGTAGTCAGAGGAATGCAAATTAAAACCACAGTGAGATGCCATTTCACACCCAGCGGGCTGGAAGACACTTCAGCGGGACCAAACCAGGATGGGGCTGCAGCAAAGGGCACCCACAGTGTCGGGGATGAGCGGGGTGAATGCGCACAGCCCCCAAGGAAGGCAGCAGGGGCCGTTCCTAGAGAGACGAACAGATGCCCCCCACCGGGGTCACAACCCTCAGAACACACCCAAGAAACCCTTGCCCACAAGCCCAGGGAGACACATGTGCACCGGGTGCCCACTGCAGCATTGTTGGCAACTGTCAAAAACTGCAAATGAAGTAAAGGCTCCTCACAACAGAACCGAATAAAGGACTGCAGCTGACTCCCCCAGTGGAGTATTACGCAGCAATTAAACAGATGAACTACAGCCACAGGGATCAACACAGATAAATCCCCAAAGACAGTGCGGCATGAAAAAAAACTGCAGGAAGATTTGTACAGAAGGCTACCTTTAATATTTGGGGTCGGAAAAATGGAAAAGAATACCCTATATAACTCAAAGAAATGTCTCTACATATTAGTAGCAAAAGCATAAAAGCAGGCCCCTGGATGAGGTACCCCATTTTCTGAGAGTGTCTGCCTCTGGGCAGGGGGAAGGGGGAGAAGTCAGGGAAGACGCAGGGGGCTTCGGTATAAGATGCTGTCTCTTTAGGAATGCAGAGGACCTGAAATAACCACAGCAGAAAAGATCTGAGACAGCTCAGTCGTGGGTACACGGGTGTGTGTTATTTTTCTGTTTACGTGCTCTTTTTAGTAGTTGAAATGGATCTTAATCACAATACAAGTAACAGTGAACTGGGCTTGGAAAATGGCCAGGGAGAGCAGAGGCCTGAGGCTGGGGGCGGAGGGCACCCAGTGTGAAGCACCCAGTGTGAAGTGGAAGTCCCCTCATCCAGCCCGGCACCTGCCCCCCACTGGATGGGGTAGGTGACCCCTACACTCTTCATGGGGTTGCCGTAGCAGGGATGTGAGTGTGGAGCTTCCCAGGGAGACGAGGAGGCACGTCCTTCTGCACTGGGCCCCCCACGCCATCGTGGAGGAAAAGAGGGCTGTGGGACGGGCCCTGCCCAGACCTGGCCCAGCCGGAGAGCAGGACTCGGGGGAGCCATAACCCAAGGCCCGCGCAGCGAAGCGGAGGCCAGGGAGGCCGGGCTGGCGCGTGGTGCCCGACACACTGGGGCGCCCGCAGCCTGGGCCTCCCGGGGCCCTGCCAGCTCCGGAAAGAATTCCCTGAGCGTGTCGGGGCTTGGGACGGCCCTGGGAGGTACCGGAGCTGAGACCACAAGCAGGGAGCTAACCAGAGGCCGATGGAGGCCGGGCGGCGGCTTCACAGGCTTGGCGGACCTGCCTGGGGACCTCCAGGGTCGGCAGGGGAAGGGGGACCCCGCCGGAGAGGCCCCCCCGGGCGGCCTCAGGACACGGCCAGTCGTCCCTGAGAGCTCTGGGCAAGTTCTAGATGCCTGCTGCAGCCCCCACACCCTGGGGGTGTCTCCCTCCAGGGCTGTTTGGGGGAGAAACGCAGAACAATGAGAGACCAGGCTCCCGGGTTGGGGGCCAGGAACAGCCTTTCTCTCCCCTGGACTGTGGTCTCAAAGCTGGGAAGGTCTGTGCCCACGTCTCTGACCCCAGGTTCTCACACTCCAGCCAACACCCACCAGCCAGGGGGTTGCACGGACTCCTGTCCTGTCCCAGAGGCGGGGCTTCTTCTCAGGTCCACACAGAGCCCCAGGGGGTCCAGAGGGGCCTCTGCCCACCTCACCCCGACACCCAGGCCAAGGGCAGAGGGGGCAGGAAGGAGGCTGGAGGCTGAGCTCCCCGGGCGTCTCCGGGGATCACGGGGCAGCCCCCGAGGCTGGGGGGGGGGCCTGCTCACGGGCTTTGGGACAATAAGGAGGAAGAGAAAGGAGGGGGCGGGAGGAGGGCAAGAAGTCAAAGGAGCACTTGTTCTGCTCAGTAGAGGTTTTGTTGTCACAAACTGGCCCCAAACTCTGTCTCCGGGAGCTCCAGGGCAAGCCTTGGTCCACCACACCCCACTGTCCGTCACCACCGCCCACCTCGCCGCACAGCTGACTCCACACACCGCCACCTTCTCTTCTCCTGTCGGCCCCGGACCCCCTCCAGCCCCGCACAGCCCAGCCTCGGGACCCTCACCAAGCCCTCCAGCCCTAAGTTCTCCCTAAGAACTCACGCGAAGCCCTCAGCCAGAGCAGAAGTGCCAGCTGTCCTCTTTCCGGCTCCAGGAACGTGCCGGTGTGCCTGCCCTCACCCTAACTGCCCCCCACCCCGACTTCATGGACCAGGGAGGTCCGAGCAGGTGGCCCACATGCGCACCCTGAGCCCTCCCCGTTTATCAGGAGCAAGGCCGATAAAGAACACCGGCGGTGCTGGTGGGAACCGGGGAGGGGCCCGGGGTCGGGGAAAAGGTGAGGGAGTGTGGCCAGACGGGGCTGGACACAGGGGACACATGGCCAGGCACGCCCCGACCTAAGAGCCCACTCAGGCATGGATGGAAGCAGGACAGCAGATGTGGGCCCCCCGTGGCCTGGGGGGACCCGCTCTGTCTCAAAAGTGGAGAGAGGCCACCCTGACAAGATGGCGTCCTCGGCCGACGGGGGTTCCACAGACACGAGGGCTACAGGCGCCCGGCCTGACCCACACACTGAGCCCCGGCTGCGTCCACACCCAGGACTCCGCGGGGCAGGAGAGTCGGCGCGGGCCGTGCAGGACTCACCTCGGAACTTCTTAGGCGGGTTGTCCAGGTCGCCAGCCGCGGGCTCCACCACACAGCGGTCATCCACCAACCTGCAGGATGAGGCAGTGAGTCAGCAGAAAGAAGACCCCCGCCTGCCCAGGCTGCCCCGGGCGCCAGGACGGCCTCCAAAGAGACCGCTCGGGGGACGGAATGGAAGGCTGGGTTAGCAGATGTAGACTTTTATATATGGAGTGGATAAGCAACAGGGTTTTACTGAACAACACAGAGAACTACATTCAGTATCCAATTACTGGAATGGAAAAGAATGTAAAAAAAAAAAAAGAATGCATGCATGTAAAATGGAATCACCTTGGTGTACAGCAGTAGTTAACACAATAGTATAAATCAACTATACTTAAAAAAAAGAAAGAAACCTCTCTCTCCATCACTGATAATCCCGTACCATCAAGTCATCCCCTTTCTGGGCACCACTGTTAAAAGGCGAGGTCCCCTGGGTGGGGGTGGGGGAGCCCCCACAAAAAGCTCAGAGGCACATGCCATCCGCCACCGCCATCCCCCGATGGAGCTGGAGCTGCATCCTGGGGGTCTGCAGCCAGTCTGAGCTGGCACACACTGCCCACGTAACTCCTGGCAAGGCCCTGAGACCCCACCCAGACCTGATGGAGGAGGGAGAGAGAAGGGGACCGAGAGACAGAGACTCAGAGAGACACAGAGAGACAGAAAAGGCAGAGCCAGAAAGACAAACGAGGTAAGAAGCAGAGGCAGAGAGACCAGAAAAAAGCTGGTGAGAAACGATTATGAGACACCAAACTAGGGGACAGCCTCCGGGTCTCCAAGACAAGACAACAGACGTTGCACCTTCCCAGCCTCCGTCAGATCCGTTCCACACCCTCCACTGTGGTCACCCTGGGCCTGAAATTCCTCCCCTCCATCCTGGCTGGGGTTAATCCTGAGTCTCTGGAGGACACCCACCCACCCATCCATCCATCCATCCCCACATTTAACATTCTTCAACGCCACACAAGGCTCTAACACAATGATGGTGACGATGACCAGCCAACTCAGAGGCCAACCAGCTCTGTCTCAGCACTTCACAACCTCCGCCTCGGAATTCTCACCAACTCCCCGCAGGGAGCTAGTCATGAGCACTATTTTATAGAGGAGGAAACTGGGTTTGAACATTGGTCTGTCTCAAGTCACAGAACTAATTCCAAAGCCTCCTTCTGCTCCTCCCCTCCTTGGATTGGCCAACAAGGCCTTTTGTGATCTGACCTCACCCGAGCCAGCCTCACAACCTCCCTGCCCCAGCTGTGCTAAACCTCTCACCTCCACAGAGTGGTCCCAGCAGCTGCCCCACCGCTACCCCTGCAAGCCCCTCCATTCTTTCATTCTTTTATCCTCAGCCCCTGCTACTCGGTGAAGCCCTCCTTGGCCAGTGCCCTCCCGGCCTCGGCGTCCCCCGACCCACCCAGCCCCGCGTTCCCACAGCACCTGGTCCTGGCCTCTCCCGCAGCCACGTCTCCTCTGCGGCTCCCTGCGGTGTCTATACCATGAGTTCCCTGAGGACAGGAGCCTGGGGTTTCCCCTTTGGAATCACTAGCACGACACAGTCCACAGTAACAATAATGACAGCGAACAGGATTTTGCTTCTAATGTTTTCATATATTATTTCATTTTCTAAGTCTCCCCTGTTTTTGCAGGAGTTATGGAGAGGGCAAATGATCTGGCCAAGGACACACAGCCAGCAAGCAGCAGAGCTGGGCTTTGAAGGCAATGGTGCAGCCTCAGGAAGGGGAGAGAAGGGCCTGCAGTGAGGACCCACTCAGACAGCTCCCCGTCCCCAGCCTCCAGCTCCATCCTCTCTCCTCCACCAGCACTCAGGCCCTTGGCCATCTTGGCCACACGGCATGGGTTCAAAGCACCACTTGTAAGTTCACTGATAACTTCCGCCTCCACCTCCCTCTGTCCCTCTTCCCCCAAACTCCAGATTCGTAATCTAACCGCCCACTCCGCGTCTCCACTTGGATTCAGCACATTCCCAGTGGAGCTCCTGCTCTTCTTGAAGTCCTCTCTGCATCCAGCTAATCCCTCCTTCCAATTGCTTGGTCCTCTCACTCACCTCTCACAGCTAACCTGTGAGGAAACGCTGTGGGCTTTATCGTTAAAATATGTATGGAATCTGAATCTAAAGTAAGACAAAGATGAACCTATCTCTGCAACAGAAACAGACTCCCAGACATAGAGAACAGACTGTGGTTGCCGCGGGTTGGGCAGGGGGGCATCAGGGAGGGATGGAGAGACTGGAGTTTGGGATGAGCAGACGCAAACTATTATATACAGGAGGGATAAACAACAAGGTCCTACTGTAAAGCACAGGGAACTATATTCAATACCATGTGATGAGATCATAATGGAAAATAATCTACATTATAAATGAGTCATTTTGCTGTAAGCAGAAGTTAACACAACACTGTAAATCAATTGGACTTCAATAAAAATGTTTTTAAATATGTACAGAATCTGACTTTTCATCACGCCAACACCACTTGGTCCAGGCCCCCAGCGGCTCTCACCTGGACATCACTGCCTCCCCACTGGTCTCCTGACACCCCCTCACCTCTACAGCTTGTCCTCCACAGAGCAGCAAAGGGATTCCTTTAAAAGGTCAGTCAAATCAGGGCAGTGCTCTCCTGGGAACCTCCAAAACCACCCATCTCAGAGGATAAGGCAAGAACTCACAAGACCCCTTCACCTCTCACACCTCATCTCCTCCCCACCCCCCGCCCCTTGCCCACTCTGCTCCAGCCCACCACCCTCCTCGAGGCTCCTCAAACCTGCCAGGAGATTTGACCCAGCTCTTCCCTCTGCCTGGCACTCTCTACCCTAGACGACTTCCTGGCTCCACCCCTCCCTCATCTCCTTCAGATCTTGGTTCAAATGACCCATTCTTTGGCTGGGCTTCCTCCCTATCCTTTTAAAAACTGTGGACTGCCTCTCTCACACTTCTCATCCCCCTGCCGGCCTCACTGTTCACCACAGCACCACCCGGCCTGCTACAGTTTGTTTGGGGTCCTATTTCTCCCCGACCTGAGATGGAAGGTTCATGAGGACAGGGATGCGTCTGAGTTGCTTGGAAATCTGTGAATAAATATTGTGTTGGGAATTCTTTGATATTTGAGGCAACCTGAAGAGAGAGATCCACTTTTAAAGGGAATCACTCCCCCAAAGACTTGTTCTACCTCTGCCCCTTCTTTTGTGCCAGTGTTCCCGTGGAGGGACCCCAACCAGGTTCACACACAGCCATACCTGACGCTGGCCTGCTGCGCTCTCCTCTGGTGAATGTCAAGGTCAGAGTTCAGCATCTGTATCGCTTCCTCCTGTATCCCCAGCACCTGGACCACCCGTCTGGCGCGGAGTGGCACACTCGAAATACATACTGAGTGAATTAATCATTTTACTAGCTACTGAGGGAAGCACACAAGAAGCAAAAGATAAGGTCTCTGCCTCAGGGAGTTCAAAACCTCACTGGGAAGACAAGTCACAGACTCAGAAGAGTTCATGATCTAAGGAATACACATGGGTGCCAAGTGATGCTACCAGCTGTGGACTTCGTCCAAGAAAGGGAGAGGTCAGAGCTTGGCCAATCAGAGAAGGTGTGAGAGAAAAGGCAAGAGCTGTGCAGAGCCTTGAATAATTCATAGAATTTCCTGTAAAACATTAGTGAATCAGATTAGCTGGCTGTCTCTTGGCAAAGCCCTGAGAGGAGGGGTTGCAGGATGGGTAAGTTTTGGTAGGGGAGGGGAGGAAGCCGGGGCAGGGCTGGGACCTGGCACTGCTGGGGGTACTGGACAGCCATAGGGCATTATGGAAGTCAGGGCAACCGAGAGAGGCTGGGCTACCCCCTCGGCCTCCATCCTGACCAGTGCATAAGGCCCTTGAAAAGGACATCTCCCCAGAGACTACCAATCTGAGGAAAACCCATCCTCACATCAGAAACCCTCCATCCCTCCTCTGGGAACTCTTTGTCTGGGTCACACGTGAGGAAAAAAAGACATGCAAGTTTGGATGCCTGGCGTGCTTTTCCTAATCCCCCTGGCATACATGTGCCTGGTCATTCTGTGGATGTCCTTCTGTCCCCGCCTACTCTGGCGTAGCTTCTGAAGCCCTGCTGTCTCCAACTGAGCCCCTCCCAGTGCCCAGTGGTTTACAGAGCAGGGCAAGTTTGGGGAGTGCAAGCTGAAGCCACTTAGAGAAGGGGAGGGGTTGGTCAGGAGGGGAGCGTGGCCTCCAGCAGAACTGCAAGCAAGGTCAGAAAGGAAAACACCACAGATCGGCAGCCAAGAGGGGACAGGAACGGTCTGTATGGACGACCAGAACAGAAAAGCAAGCCGTGTGGACCATGAAATAAAAAACGGCAGGGGGCTCCTGGAAGGCACCAGGAAAACAGACTCAGGAAGATGGGACTTTCAGGACCTCCTCCTGGATCCAGCATCCCACTCCCTCCCTTCTCCAAGTGCGGGTCCTGGATGAGCAAAATCAACACAGCCTGGGATCATTCTGCACCCCTCCCCTGCAGCCTCTGAGGGGTGGCACCTCGCCCTCCCCATCCTTTCATTTCCCCTGTGGAGCGCAGCCCTCCACCACAAAGAGGGCAGCCAGCGGCAGGGTGTTTAGGAAGTCCCAAACTGCCCCGCCGCGCGCCCGCGGAAGTCTCCGCTCCGTCCCTCAGAAGCTCCTCCTCAGGGCTGAGGCATCCCAAGAAGGTGCTATCGGGCGGGCGGGGAAGGGAGGGGTGTCCCGTGAAGCCATTAACAGATAAGCGGGAAAGCCCTTATCGTACGGGCTGCGGAGGGAGACCCGGAGGCCAGAGGGCGGCACGAGGACCGGGACATCCGACGGCTAAGTTTCGATGGAGGGGGAGCCTCAGGGGGCGCGGCCGGGACTCCCGAGCTTCTGGGTAGAGCTAGAGGCGGAGAGGTGGTGGCCCAGCGCCCCGCCGAGGCCCCGCCCCGGTCCGCCGAGGCCCCGCCTACTCGCGGAGGCCGCAGAGCGCTCCGGGCCAGCCCCGGCCCCGCCCCTGCCGTGGAGC